CCCCCCCCCCAGTAAATCCATCCCTGCTGGATTGTTGTTTCAATAATTCTCTCATGTATCGATTTCGTAACAAGACACAGCTACACAATAATATTTATTTTTCTATTCTCTCAAATATAATAATTTATAAATTTCTTATTTTACAAATCTCTGTCACTCGGTATTAAATCTCGCTGTTAAAAAACTCGCAACTCACAGAATTATTCGTTTTTGCCCTAACCCAAAATTCTGTTTCCCCAATAATTTTATAAAAGAATTTCGAAAGTGAGCATTGCAATAAATTATTTTCAAACCAATCGATCGCCATGATAAATTTAATCGACGTAATCAACCATTACCCTCGGGGAAATTGATGTCCGTAGTCTGTAGTCACCCACCCGAAAATATGACACCCCCGGATATATGACACCACCGGATATTTGGCACCCCCGGACATTCGACACCACCTGACATTTGACACCACCGGACATTTGTCTCCATATACCTCGGAGAATTGTACCTGGTTAAGATATTCCTTTCAACAGCGATGCCTCCAACACGATATTGAATTCGATCAAGGAGCGAAGTAGAATGACGAGGAACTCGACCATGTCTTTGTCTCGCAGGAATGAGTTTTGTTCGTACATGTGAGTTGTAACTGGACATACTGAGATCAGAGGAAACCATTCCTCCAGTAGATGATCCCTGCGAAAATAAGATGACTCAATTATACTGGATAGTCCTATCAGTTCTAAACTGTTCTTCCTAGAGGTCCAGTAACAACCATCTCTTATTGATCTAGTGTTACTACTGAAGGAAACCTAAACTAAACTAAACCAACTTTATTTATACTGGATAGCTCTATCAGTTCTAAACTGTTCTAAACTGTTCTTCCTAGATCTAGTGTTATATATACTGGACAGCTCTATCAGTTCTAAACTGTTCTTCGTAGAGGTCCAGTAAGGATCATCTGTTATTGATCCAGTGTTATACTACAGAAGGAAACCTAAACTAAACCAACTTTATTTATACTGGATAGCTCTATCAGTTCTAAACAATTCTTCCTAGAGGTCCAGTAAGGATCATCTCTTATTGATTCAGTGTTACTACAGGAGGGAACCTAAACTAAACCAACTTTATTTATACTGGATAGTTCTATCAGTTCTAAACTGTTCTTCCTAGAGATCCAGTAAGGATCATCTCTTATTGATTCAGTGTTACTACAGGAGGGAACCTAAACTAAACCAACTTTATTTATACTGGATAGTTCTATCGGTTCTAAACTGTTCTTCCTAGAGGTCCAGTAAGGATCATCTCTTACTGATCCAGTGTTACTACAGGAGGAAACCTAAACTAAACCAACTTTATTTATACTGGATAGCTCTATCAGTTCTAAAATGTTCTTCCTAGAGGTCCAGGTAGATAGATAGATGGTTTATTGAACTTTAAGGATCATCTCTTATTGATCCAGTGTTACTACAGGAGGAAACCTAAACTCCCTCAGGCTCTATCCTTCACAAGCCTCGATAGACGTTCTCCAAACTCACCTCGCACCAAGACATATGAAAGTTTGGAACTAAAATATGAAGTAAATATACAAATAAGTTTCTAGCAAATTTACAAAGAATATAAAAATAACTAAGCTACAATCTTGGACAAAACGGTTGAGACTCTCGCAAGGAATAATGCAATTGTGGATTTAAATTGGAGGTTTAAATATTACATAACGTTAAGATGTTACTATGTTAGTGTTATCCACGCAGGACTTAAAATACTGTAGATCTTATCAAAAGTAGATATACCTTGCCATCTTTTCCGACCGTTTGTGAAGCGTCATTGATCTTTTGAACGACAGAACAAAATGATAATTTAGCCCGACGCTGGTCTGTGAGAATGAACGATCCCTCTTCGGAATTAAGATACAAATACACTTTTTCTATAATAATTTAAATATTTATTTTAGTAAAGAACACGCGAGAGACCTTATTCAAATGACTTGTGCATGTGCTGATCTACATTCGTGAATGTGGGATTTACTCATTATCGAAGAGAAAAGGGTTGGGTTAACAAAATTTTGAGTGAGTAAAAGGTTGGGTAAATGAAAAAAAAAACAACTCAAGGGTTGGGTAATAAAAATTTATTGTCATTTCCAAAGCATGACTCGTTCGAATATTGA